GCGGCCGAAAAGTGGCTAAGGAATGCTTAGGGGAACTGTAATCAATTTCTGTGGAGAAATGGGAACAACAAAGCATCGTTACTAGGACTAGGGGCTCCTGGCCTTACTACTAGGAACACGAAGCTACTAGTAACAAAGGTGCCTATCCATGACATCATAGAAGAACCTTCGCCGCCAGACGATAGATGCACGCGGCAACAAACACACACGTCATGCTTTCTTAATAGCTTCTTGCCCCTAGTAGCGATGCCCTTTGCTCCTAGTAGCGTTTTTGCTCCTAGTAGTACGGCCAGGAGCCCCGATCGTAGCGTCCTTGTTACTAGAAATCACGTTGTACCACAGAGTAGGGCTCTAGACAGGTTCTGGAGGCACTTCGGTGATTGAATTCTTCGAGGGGAGTGCTTCCAATGCACAGACGGCGCTCAAGCCTGGCCATCGGCCCCGCCAAATTGCTGAAGTAAAGAACCCATCAATAGCCGTCCCTAGTCATTAACCTGATCGTTTCTACATTATGTTTGTAGTCTGTGCACACTTACAAGTGTCCGGTTGATATGTTGGCTGTAAAGTTGAGGCATGAATGCCTTTTTAGAATGAGGACCACGGCACACGGCATGTGCAGAGACGCTGACTACGACCACCTGTGCCGCAGTGGTGGTGATGCGACGCGCGGACGACTGCTGCGCGGATGTGACAAAAGCATACCAGAAACATGCAGAAACCGAAAAAGGCCTGAGGGTGAAAGAAAAGACCAAATGAGATACGCAAAATATATTGAACGGATCGAGTGTGGATTCTGAGCATCTTACGTGCTACAAGCGAGGGCCTCAAAGGTTGGAGTCTGCAGTACTAGGCACCTTTGTTACTAGTAGCTTCTTGCTCCGAGTAGCGAGGCCAGGAGCGCCCCTAGTAGCGCCCTTGCTCCTAGTAGTAAGGCCAGGAGCCCCTAGTAGCTTCTTGTTTCTACTAGTAAGGCACTTGTTACTAGAAGCGATGCACTTGTTACTAGTAGCGTTCTTGCTCCTAGTAGCGATGCTCTTTGTTACTAGTTCCAGGTTTCCAGGTCCTTGCGTGGCATTGCGTGCCGTGAAAGAATCGGCTGCCCATTGTTCCGGTGCATGTCACTTGCTCTGGTATAAACGTTTTGGAAGAGGGTTTGAACTTGACGTCATTTCCACCGGTTTTTTCCATTAGCTTTCGTGGATATGATGGTCACAGCTTCTGCTACTTGGGTACATCATCGGACGGTTTTCTCGGAAGTTTTGAGCAGAAGAGTTCCGATTACAATTACACTCGTTAGCATAAAAATAAAAACCCTCAGCATAAAAATAAAAACCCTCAGCAT